CTTTTAATACAGTTTGATAGTTTCTTTCTTTTTTAGCTCTTCATATTGTTTTTAATTTTTAAATTTTAAGTATTAATTTTTTTGCTTAACATATAAAACATCTGGTTTCATTATGATATCTTCATAAGGTATATCATTTAGTCCCCATTATTGTCTCCTGTAACCATGACCACTCACACTGGCAACTTTCCTTCTCCCAAATAGTCCCCATTTTGTTTGTATCACATACAGATGTACACATATTTACACAAACCTTTTGATTCTATGTCATATATATGTGCACACGCACATATCTTCCATGTCATATATCTATATAACTCTAGAATCTGTGTTTGAAAGAAAACATGAGATATTTATTTTCTCTATTACCTTCACTTGATCCCCCTTCTCTTCCTTTAAATTCCCTCCTCCCTTCACATAAAACTCTTCATACTTTCTTGTCCTTCATGAGATACTTGTACAACCATGTTTGTTGCTGCTCTTTTCACAATAGCTAAGAGATGGAAGCAACCTAAGTGCCCCTCAACTGATGAGTGGTTAATGAAAAATGTGGTACATTTATACAATGGAGATCTATTCAGCAGTAAATAAAAATGAAATAATGAAATTTTCAGGTAAATCAACAGATCTAGAAACTGTTATACTAAGTGAAGTAACATAGACTCAGAACAGCAAATGATTTGTGCTCTCCCTCATTTGTGGATCTTAGCACCAAATCCTTAAAAGTGAGTATATATCCTGATGTAACTGCAGGAACCAGGAAAATGGAAGGAAACCAGGAAAGTAAAGGGAAAGAAGGAACCAAAGGAGATGACTACTAGGAGACAGGCATTATTAAGGGAGAAATGTGTAAAAAGGGGGTAAAGGAGAGGGGGAGAAGGAAGGCTATACAATGAACTATGGGAAGAAAAGGAAAGAAGGAGCTCAAAAGACGTGGGACTACAGCATATAAAAATTATTAAGGGAGAAACGGGGAAAATGGAGACACTTTAAATGGGATGGGTGGGAGGTAAGATAAGACAGAGAGAGAAAGACGAGACATAAATAGTGCCTACATAATATAAAAACCAGAGGGAATCATATAAAACCTATTAAAAGAAAAACCTACTGAAAAATTACACATATAATATCCCTACCTGAGTCTGTGAGTATAGCTGAAGACTACATAACAAGAAACAGTGCCAGACAGGAGAAACCTTCCTTTGAGTTGTTGGCCAGGGTAGTCCCAAAATTACAGAGACTCCCAAAATTACACAGGCTATTGCCACAGTTCTTGACTGCCTCCCAGCACTTGATGGTAAGACCCTATTGCTAAAGACAGGTCATGTACTTTGGACACAGGATTTGGAGCAATGGAGCTGGAACTGACCTGGAAGCCATGTCCCCTGAAGGCTAGCTCTCATAGCTTTGGAGCTGGAACTGACCTGGAAGCCATGTCCCCTGAAGGCTAGCTCTCATAGCTTTGGAGCTGGAACTGACCTGGAAGCCATGTCCCCTGAAGGCTAGCTCTCATAGCTTTGGAGCTGGAACTGACCTGGAAGCCATGTCCCCTGAAGGCTAGCTCTCATAGCTTTGGAGCTCCAGGGTTGTGCAAGAGATTCCCAAAATTACACAGGCTATTGACACAGCCCTTGATTGCCTCCCAGAACTTGAAGGTAAGACCCTATTGCTGAACACAAGACATACTTCAGACGCAGGATTTGGAGCAATAGAGCTGGGACTTACCTGGAAGCCACCTCCTTTAAAGGCTAGCTCTCATAGCTCTGGAGAGCACTATGCAAGCGGGTGAGGGAGAACATCAATTGATGCTCCAACCCCAGCTTCGAGGCCTAAAAATGTCAGCAAAGGACATTGGTGCAGTAGTGCACTTTTATCTTGTGGTTAATCAACAGCTACTTAATTGGCACTGTAAACGTAACCAAATACACATAGCTGGAGAGGTCATAGATCTTAGAGAAAACCCCAAAGCTCTCATATACCTGGACAAATATAATTTCTTAGTATGTGCAAAATATGGATCGTTAAGTTTTCAGACAAGTATCCCAGTCACCACCCATCAAAGTAGCTTCTTTTTCCACAGACAGAGTTCCACAACTGATAACACACAGAGATTCTCCATCAAATTGCCTAAGCCTAACTGGCTCATCTAGGATGCAACCTCTACACCTAAGATGTACTAAACACAGAACAAGGGATGAAGAGAACACTAATGTGTCTTTTCAATTCTCATCAATGAAGTTCCTTCATGCAGGGACCAGCAACACAAAAGGCCACAAATGACAAAAAAGCAGAGAATAGGCGTCAGCAGAGTGTGGGTCTTTGGACACATCTCATTTATTAAGGTTCACCCACCCAGGGTTCAGGGACCATTGTGGAAGAGGGAGCAGAAAGATTTTAGGTCACGGAGTAGGTGCATGACTGCTGGTGCCAGCTGGCCAAGACCGACAGTACCTGAAAGGGGGAGTGAGGATTGAAAGAAAAAACAAGAGACAGAGAAAAGATACTTGGGAGGACCATCAGTAGAGACTGCAGCCCTGGTTTATTTTAGGTCCGCCTTTTTATACAGAAGAACTCAATTAGTTTCAACAGCTGTTTTTCCCACCTGTATCTGAGGGTCAAGGAGCGGTCAAATACTTGTTGTGAACTCCACCATATAAACACATTCCTCCTGACTTGGCAGATTAGGTCAAAACACAATCTCTAAATAAACAAGCAAGACTGCCACAGCTCAATGTACATAATGGATTAATAGCTCCTAACACATGACCATATGGAAGTAGTCCTATAGGCACCTGGGACCCTTCTCACACAAACCTACAGCAATGATGTCAGCATGCACAAGACTCATGCAAACTTAAGTATACAAAAACCCAGCACAGAACTGTGGACATGAACAGCAAGCTCCAATCTTAGCCAAAGAATTATTGGCTGCTGATTACTGCTGGGTGAGGAAGAGCTGGTCTTGAAAGGAGAGACTCTAGATAGGCTGACTAAACCCTGGTGGATGAGCTCCCACTAAGGGACATCTTGAGACACTAACTTTATATAATAGGCCTTAATACAAATGACAGAATTATGAATGCCAGTGATGGTGGGGGTATGGGAGGGTACCAAAGGGCAAGGGGGGAAGAGGGTGTAAAGATGATTTTATGTATGAAAAATTACATAAAAATTCAATAAATGTTTTTAAAAATACAAAACAAAAAGGGAAGTTAAAACTGACTCAAAACTTACCTGTGGGCTTTCAAAAATATAAATTTCATGTATGAAATAAGCATGATATTTGCTTTTCTGAGAACTCAATTTCATGACAATTCCCAATTGCATTCATTTTCCTGCAAATGATTCAATTTCTTACTTCTTTACATCTGAAAAACTACATTTTGTATATACAGGACATTTTCTCTGTCCCTTCAACTGTGGATGTTTCTATATTTTGACTGTTTTGAACAGTCCTGCAGTAAAAAATGGTGTGCAGGTGTATGCAGTATACTGACTAGACTCATGGGATCTAGGAACGATAAGGGAGTCCTTTGGTAGATCTAGCTCTAGGTTTTTGAGGAGACTCTACCTTGATTTTCATAGTGGTTGCAATAGTTCCCTGTGGATAAGTCTTCCTCTTTCTCCACATCCTTGCTGCCATTTGTTGTCATTCGTTTCTTTGACAACAGTCATTCTGACTGGGGTAAGATGGAATATCAATATAGCCTTAATTTGTATTTCCTTGATAGCTAAGGATATTGAACACTTTCTCACAACTTATTAGTCACTTGTGGTTATTCTTTTGAAAAATGTCTGTTCCATTCATTTGCCCATTTATTGATTGGATCCCCTGTCAGAAGTATTATATATTTGGCAAAGATTTCTCCCATCATGAAGGCTATCCCTTTACTCTGCTGAATATTTGCTATGCTATGCAGAAGGATAGCTCATTTATTTTTGACACTAATAGTCCACCGTCTGGGTATACCTGTTCATTCATTTACCTACTGAAGGACTTCTTGATTGTCTCCAAGTTGACAATTATGAATAAAGTTGCTATAAATATCCATGTGCAGATTTTTGTCTATACATTTTAAATCCTTTGAGCAAAAAAATAAGATACTTGGACATTACAGTAAGGTAAGGTAATCTTTGAATAAAACACCATTTCTTCAAGGTGGCTTACCATTTCCCACTCTACCAATGAAGAATGAGAGTTAATTTGTTCCAAGTCCTCACCAACATTTTGTGTCTGCAGTGAGCTAGGTTTTACCTGGTCTATGGAATGTGTAGTGGTGTTACCTTTAAATGTGCCTTTCTATAATACAGATGATGTCAAAAAATTTTTTTATGCTTATTTGTCATTGTATGGTTTTTTTGGTGACATCTTTGGTCCATTTTTTAGTCAGGTTTCTTGTTTTCTTATTAATGGGTCTTAAGAATTGTTTGTATATTTTAGATAATGGTTTTATCAGTGATGTCTTTTGCATGCATTTTTTTCTTGTCAGTGTCTGGTCTTTTCATTCTATTAACAATGTCTTTGCATGTCAGAAAATTATAATATTAATGAAATCTTTCACATCTTTGGTGTTTTATTTGACGTCATCACCAAACCCAAGGCCATCTAGATTTTTCTCCAATATTATCATCTAAGAAATCATATAGTTTTTCAATTTTTATTTATTCATCATTTGTGAACAGTCCTGCAGCAAACAATGGTGTGCAGGTGTCTGTGGTACACTGACTAGATTCTTGGGATCTAGGAGGGATAAGGGAGTCCTATAGTAGTTTGAGTTCTAGTTATCCATTTTGAGCTATCTTTGTGAAGGTTGTAGGGTCTTTGTCTTGATTCATTTTCTGTTGCTAATATAGATATCTAGTCATTTCCACATCACATATTGAAATATTGTCTTTTCTTCATTGTACTGCTTTTGTTCCTCTGTCAAAAATCACTTGAATGTATATATAGGGTGCTATTTCTGGGCTCTCTGTTGTTTTACCTACTTAGCAATGCCATGCCATTTTGCTTGCTAGTTCATAATAAACCTTGAGGTCAGGGAACATCAGTTCTCCAACTTTCTCTTCTCTTCACTATTTTGCTGGAAGTTTTGAATCTTTTGTGTCTCTATAAACTTCAGAATAAAATTGTCAGTATCCACCAAATAACATAGAAATTGTGATTTTGATTGAAATTGACTCTATAAATGAAAATGAGAACTGCTATCTTAACAATAGTGAATATACTTTTTCCATGAGCACAGACTATAACTCCATTTAATTATTTGATTTGTTTTTACTGTTTCTAATAAACTAATGGGTTTCTTTCCTTTCTTCACCAAATTTCATGCATTCTGTCATATATGTTAAAGCCTATCAAGTCAAGTTGTGTACTCAGATATCTCTCAATGGGAGTTCATCCACTGGAGTCTGGTCAGCCTATCTAAAGTCACTTCTTAAGAAATATCAACTCCTCCTCACCCAACAGTAATTACCTGCCAATAGTTGTTGCCCATTTCTCCAGTTCTATGCTGATGCTTTGTATGATTGAATTTGGCTGGGTCTTGGGCATGCTGTCACCATTACTTTAAGTTCATGTGAGCAAGTTCCCAGAGGCCTGGAAGACTATTTCCTTATAATCATACAGCAACCCTGGCTCTTACAGTCTTTCCATTCCCTCTTCCACAGTTGTCCCAGAGCCATGTGTAGGTGAGGTTTAGTGGGTTTCTTTGTGCCATTTTCATGCATATAGATCATACTCCCCCCCCATCACCTCCCCTTGCCATTCCTCCTGTCTTCTTGGTCTCCTTCAACTCCTTAAATAGTCCTTCACTGCTTTCATGTCACACACAAGCACATGCACACACACATGCATGTGTACATATACACACTAGTTTAAATCTAGTCTCCACATATGAGTGAGAACATACGGTATTAGTGTTTCATTTTTCCGTTTATTATCCTCTCTCCCTACTCCATTTAGACCTCTTTGTCCCACCCCATAGTCTCCTTTTTACTTTGACATCCCACAGATGTTTAAATCTAGATTTTGCATATAATGAAATATAATATTTGTCTTTCTGACTTTGACTTATTTCACTTAGCATAATCTTAGCACGATAATCTTTATCAGATACTAAGATACCTCTTATTCGCTTTTTGGCTTAGGATTGTTTGCCTATTTGGGGTCACTTGTGCCTAGAAATGAATTTTAGTTTTTTTCATAGCTCTGTGAAGGATATCACTGGACTACTGGTGGGGATTGTGTCCATTCTGTAGATTGCTTTCAGAAGCATAGACAATTTTACAATATTGATTATGCTTATCCATGAGTATGGGGGGAGGTTTTTATACCTTCTAGTGTGTTATTAAATTTTTTTCTTCATTTGAAAAAAAGTTTAAGTATAGGGGTCTTCATTATCTTGAACAGACTTATTTCTGGGCATTTTGTTTGTTTGTTGAGGCTGTTGTGAATGGGAATTTTCCCCTGATTTCTTTCTTAATATGTTTGTTATTGGTATATAGAAAAGCTACTTATTTTGTAAGATGATTTTGTGTTCTGCTACTTTGTTAAAGGCACTTATCAGATCTAAGGGTTTTCTAGTGCATTCTTTGGGTCTTTGCAGTACAGAATTTAGATTACAGCTAGTGATAATTTGACTTCTTCCTTTCCTATGTGTATTCCTTTCACTTTTCCCCTTTCACTTTGCCTCATTGTTCTCCCTAAGACCTTAGTACTATATTGAATAAGAGTAGAGGGGGTAGATGCCTTGTTTGAATCCTTATTTT